CAGAATTCCAAATACTGAAGGTATTTTCTGGAAAGAAATTTATTCTGTTGTTCTACACTTTAAGATATAACATTGAATCAAATCCATTCGTCATTATTTTTTACATCGGAACCTTTAAAGATCGGGACTAATAAACCAGAACTCGAAAAGTTCTTCAACTCCTATTAATGCGTAGATATGGATCCATAAAAAACATAACCAAGAATTTTATACACTTTATTAAAAGATCAAAAAAATAAACAATAACAATATAGAAGTAACATACTAAAATGAGTAGCATTATGCACATCTCTAAAGCACATACAGGCACTACAGCAATATAACGTGGCAAAAAGAAAAAGAACTTCCAAGCGTACACCCTGTTGGTAGCAGTTGAGGGAATGAACTGTGTTATGGAACTGAACCACTGCATTAGCCTATGCCTGCCTGAATCTGATGGTATGTTGTTTCTTACAATGCCACAGGGCTAACTGTAGTTGTTTGTATATATGCTAAACTATACCATTAAATTGATAGCTAATGTTTCTCTTGTACCAGAAATGCCTATGAAAAGAAGAATTGCTTCAAATATCTACTTCACACAGTACGGTATAAGTGTTTGTATAGACCTAAATTAGAAGTCGACCATTTTGGAGAACATTCTCTGGTTTCTGTGATTGCCTAGAGTACAATTCTCTACTTCTACGGAAGAAGAAAGCGACCTGCTGTCAGGTGACATGATCAGAGCACGGGGAGTTTCGTCTCATTTTCATGATGTGAAATAAAAACAGAATTAAAAGAAAGCTAATTGGAAAAGGAAAAACAAAACAAAGCGAATAAATCCCATAACCCAATCTAAGAATGGTCTTATCATCCCCTCATCTGCTAGGATACAAAAGCCATGGCAACAAAATCATTTGGCTTCCACCACTATCAAATAGCATCTGTGTACAGTAATAAGGAACTGGAACCTTGTAATTCAGTGTCAGGTAATTCTCTCTGTTGTGTGTTTGGAAAAAGAACTTTGTGTTATTTAACAGTTGTGTTATTTTTGCATGTTTAATTATCTCGTCTGAGAGGCAGAGTTATTTTTGATATAGAGATGTCAGTAGAGATCACTAGCAAAGATTTTAGCAGTGTTGTTGTTGTGATCGTTTTCGTATCCCCAAGCAAAAGAAGTTTACCGTCTCGGATTCATTTCACATAGTGCAAAACAGGTTTTTTCTTGTAATCCTAGAAATGAGGAGCTTGATTACAGAAATTGATTACAGTAAAGGGAAGCTTTAAGAGCACAGTGGCCTGAATTTGCTGAGTATTTCATATTAAAATCGACATTATTGTAAAGCACACGGAAAGAGACAACATCTGATTATTTTTTTTCCCCTAACAGACACTGGGACCACATGATGCTAAGGCTCTGATTCAGCAAAGCGTGCGTTTCAATGGATCACGTGGTGAATTATGGGCTGGGCAGGGGACATTCATGGACAACGTGAAGGGAGCAATCTCTGGGAGGCCAGCAGCAGTGCCCAGAGCACTAGGATGGGCAGGGGAGGGATGTAAGGACATGGGGGCCTTACCAAAGCGAATCTGAGGGGTGAGGTTGCAACAAAAGTACTAGTTCTGATCAAAAAATAAGCAGCTCGATGCAGGCCTCCCAGCTTCCCCACACCTCCCTCAGTGCTGCAGAGCATTGCAGTGCAAGCAACAGAGCAGGAGTGGGAAGGGAATCAAGAGCCTGGGGACCCAGATTGCTGGGAATCAGCAATCTGCTGCAGAGAATGGATATTTTACATCATTCATCTTCTGTTTTCTCTGTCACAGCTAACATTCTATTTGGGAAAGCAACATGCAGACAACCTAGCTTGCGTATGAGAGCATCTCCTGGTCCTGCATGGGCACAGGGCTTTGCCCAGGATTCCCACCACCTCCGTGCAGCCTGGCAGCCCTGGAGAAGCAGGGGAAGCCGGGGCTGTGTGGGAGCACATGGGCAGCAGCTCCTGGAAGCACGGTGCCTCCCCGGCTGGGGACAGGGCTGTGCTCCCTTTGCACGGCAGGGCAGCAGGGCTGCACCCAGCCAGAGGCACCGTGCTGCCACCCGGCACAGCAGCACCGCCTTCCCTGCCCAGCACCCAGCCCACAGCTGCACCACGCACTGCTGCCAGGCCCTCTCACTCTCTCAGAAGAGCACTAAAACAGTGGCACCGGAGGGGAAAGTCATCCCAAGCCCATCTGAAACAACTCCCAGCCCTCCACTGCTTTTCAGCCGCTCCGTTTAGTTGGCTTGGCCCATAACGGTGAGAAAACACAAAACCACACAAAACCCAGCAAACGGCAACGGTTCAAACCCTCTCTGGGATTTCAAGCACCTCAACGACAGTCACCTACAACAGAGAAACACTTCCAGACAGAAACAGGGACGAGGCGCTGGGCAAAATGGCTGGGTGCCACCGCCGCCATGTCGGCCCCAATGGGACTCACTGAGAACGCAAAGCACCACAAACATGACCTCGGGTGTGTGTGAAAATGCAGGCTGATTCAAAACAAAATCTTTGCTAGTGACCTTACTAATTCATTAAGCACTGTTTCCCATTTCTCCGTGCTGCAGGTTGGAGCTGACCTGGTATCAGTCTGCTGTATAATAAGCTATGGCAAACTACAAAGCTTTTACAACAGCAAAGCAACATCATGCTTTCAGATAAGTTTTATAGCAAAAAACTCCTCCTTTTCAAAGCCTTAGTAATACCTATCTCTTTTACAAACTTTTCCTGTATTATTACAGACTTTTTTTTTTTTATATTCAAAATAAGTTCCAAGGATTTCTTTCGTGGACTATGTACATAAGTGCAAAAAAGGTGTGTCTCACACATTCGTACACTAACTGAATCAGTTTAACTGCAGCATATTGGTATCTTCAACACTGTTACGGGGTCATTCCACAATATTTTTCTTTTTCTTATGTACAGTTTTTGCTGATATAAATTAGTATTAAAATAGTTACACGTTTTTTCATCATTTAGCCCTGATCGTAACATAATCACACGAGTGTTCAATTTCAGGAAAAATAAAAGAAAAAAAAAAAAAAAGAATTTAAAAAAAAAAAAAAGCAAACCCAACAGAAAACTGCAAGCAGAGCTACAGTACTGAGAGGGATGGGTTCGGAATTCCCACAATGGCGGTGAGTGTGAAATGGAGGAACGACCATCACTACGTCCCCACGCAGCCCGTCGTGCTGTCGGAGTGAAAATACTGTGGAATAACCCTTGCCACACAACAATTTTCTACAAGCTATAAAACCTGACTCTAAATCCATGTGTTGTAAACTTCTCGACTGAAAAAGTGACGTAGAGACACCGATTCAGCGTTCACATGGGACTTTGGGATTTTAAAAATATTCAGTCATCTCTTTTATCTGACAGTATCGAACTGTACCTTTCACAAGCTCATACTGTTACACATCACTTTTAATTTACATGTGAAAATCTCACAAATAACGTATACAAAGGTAGCCATGTTGTAGTTTTGTTGCCATAGCAACAACAACTTAATATAATTAGTTAACAATGAATCTATCATTGTAGGAGTTACATACAAAGTTAATTTTGTTCTTAAACTGTAAACTATACAGACAAGTTATGGACTGCGTTCTACACCTTACCATGCTTCAGTGTTGGTTTAGAAGAGAACTAAACGGGCTGAACGGATGTATGAAAAGCTTTCACCTTTCTCTAGCTCTCCTTCAAAATTAAATTCATTCGTTACTAAAGGTATCAAAAAAGCAATAGTGAAAAACCTTACGAACTAATGGTAAAGAAATGGAAATACATGACGCGGGTTAATGCGTTGTAGCCCAGTAACAATGTGTTGGAGCTGTATTTACATTGGGATTAGGCTAGCAACTATGAAAGTTATTACAGTCTTTAACATACAGTATATACTCTAAGGCCTTCAACAGGCACGCGGTAAAATCAGGTCAATATCAAACTAAATCCATTCAACAGGAATGGGAAATTAGATTTTCCTCATAGATTTCACCTTCTTCCGTTCTCGCGCGTGTGAAATGTACAAGGGATCAGAACCAAAACCCAACGAGGATCCAGTTTCTCACTCACTGCGTGTCCCACAGCTGCCCTGCGGCGCCAGCAAGGGGCCCACGAGGCTGGAGCGGATTCCTCATCCGACACACGCGGCTCCTCGTCCCGCCGGCACCCAGCGCAGCCTCACAGCCAGCTCCGCCGCCCCGATGCTCCTCCCGCAGCTCCGGCTGCCCAGCGGGCCGGGAGGCGCCGGCAGCGGGGCAGAGCGGCTGCGCGGCCGTGCCTTCGGCATGCTGGGAGCACGGCCAGCCCCCGCGCCGCCGCTCCGCGCAGCATCCAGGAGCGGGGGGCCGGCGTGGGCTGCCCTGGGAATGGTTTGTAGGACATCACGATGCAAAAATACAGAGTCAAAAACATCATCAGCTAGAAACTCGCAACTAAAAAAACCCAAAAAACAGAAAGAAACCAAAAAAAAAAAAAAAAGAAAAAACCAACAACATTGATTGTGAAATCGTGTTCCGAATTACTAACAACACTGTATTTAACAAAAATAATCTTAATAGTTTTATGAATCCATTTTATTTTAAATCCCTCTTTTATTGTCTGCTTATGTTACAGTTTAGTAGTAGTACTTTTATTGAAACTACTAACAACCTTTTGCGTGAAAATGATCAATCTCAGCTTTCATTTTCCCTCTGCATGACCCGTTTTATCCAAGTTTCAGCATTTCTTGCATATTGTTTGCATAAGGCTGAGAGAAATGGACAAAGAGAAATCACTTTGGATAAATAAAAAATATAGGTTCATGGAAAGTGGGAAGCTTATAAAAATGTCACTAAAATTATATTGATTTAAACAAACTTACATACATCTCTTGTCAAATAAAGGATGATATTCATGCTTTTATGACATTTGTTTAGAGTCACTAACTAGCTCGGTGACTTTGTAAGAGTCTATTTAGGAAATTTATAGTCTGGCGACTGGTTTGTTTTTTTTTTTTTTCTTTTTTCATTTTTTTTTCTTTCTTGAACAAAGAAAATTAGAGCAAGTCATTGCACAACTAGTTTCAATAGTGCTACCTCAAATGGCATTTTTGCCGAGATTGTTTTGAATTTGGTGAAGTTTAGTGCTTCAAGCTTTTCTTTCCTTAAACTCATTTACAAATTAACGCTAAATTTGCCAGCAATATAAAAACTGTTGTGGCACCTAATATAACTACCCTGAACATCCCTCATCGGACCTCTTTAATAAAAAATAATCCTTAAACGCTTTTTTTTTTTTCAGTGCTTTAAATGTGACGTGAAAACAGCTGTATTCTAGGTTTACATTCTATGCACATCTATGCCAGATGTTTAAGTAGATAAATAAAATAGGAGGTTACATCAAAGTGTCAAGATATACAAAAATCCATTTAGCACTGAAAAAGTTCCAACCTCCTTTAACTCATAAAGCCATACAAGCTTGAATGCATCCTTTCTGGCTTAAGAAGATCAGCTCTGTTCTTTGTTGAGGCACTGGCACAGGTTGTGCAAAACCCATTTTGATACACAAATAATTTCAAACAGGAAGTACTCAAATCCACTTTTTCCACTAACAATGTTATGGTTTTGGGAAACAGAAACTCAGTGGTTAAAAGAACAGGTAGGCAGCAGCCAATATAAATGACAGCCACTAATTGCAGGCAACACTGCCTGCTTTTGAATGCTGACGGCTGGGAAGCATTCATGGACACGAGGGACTGCCAGAACACGAGGTGCATGGCTGAGGGTTGGGGCTGCGTGGGTTTCTCCCCTCTTTTAGGGTTAGGTTCAAAGCCTGCTGAAATGAATGGAAAGATTCCTTCTGGCTTGAGGCTTTTCTGAACCGGACTCTTCAAAGGTGCTTGCTATGAATGCATCTCCACACACAGGTGGTTGCAGCCCATCCTGGGCTATACCTGTTGTGCCCAGCCTGCCCCTTTGTCCCTTGTGGTCCACGTAGATGCACGGCTTTCAGTACACCTGCACCCACAGAGGGCATTCTCTACCCAAGATTAAGGAAAAAGAAAATGGAATCTTCTTGGCACCCCACAAAATCACTGCAAGCTCAGGGCAGCAGGACACGAACAATTCGCCCATCCCCTGGCTTTAAAAATGATTCTCTTTCTCTTAGCACTTCATACTTCTATGAAGTCGAGGGATCAAATCCATCTCTTCCATGATGCCAGCGACAGTACAGAGCTGTGACAGGGACAAATTTAGCTGCATTCTCAAATTAAAACGTATTCTGTGTAGCCAGATTGTTCAGCAAGGCAGCACAGCACCAGGCAGTGCTGCCCAGGGTGCGTGTGTGGGCAAGGAGCTGCTTTATTCATGCGCATGACAAGGAGGTATTGAGAACTAGCCCTTGTTGTGTGACAAACGTTGGTCTTCATCAAGTAGAAGGTGCCAGACCACATCCACCAACCTCTAGGAACATCATAAAAATGGATGTTTATGTACGGTAGAATTTTTCCTGGTTTATTATGCTGTGTTTGCTTTATAGGGCCAGAAATTAGGGGAAAAATCACCAAGTCATGGCCAATGTGATTAAAGAACTGGTGCACGCTGACAGAATTTCAGCAAGGGTCACCAGATTTCAGGCTGAGATGTTTCAGCAGGCTCAGTGAAGAGATGCTCATGGGCACAGTGTTACCCAGCTTGGGCCAAGCCACGATGGTGGGCCTAATCCAGCCACGTGCTTTATAGCTAACAGCTGGCAGTTGTTCCTCTCCAATGCAAACGCCCAAAGGAAAACATCTCACTCATCCACCTATTGCTTTCCACTGCACCACGAGAACATCAAGAAAGATTGTGCGCCATTTGCAGCTGAGAATGCACTTCAACATACAACACAACTGCAGAAATTCTGACCAAATCTTTCCTATCCCCTTAACTGAGAATGGGTTTTTGTCTTTCTCTTTTTTTTTCCCCTCCAGTTTCCAGAATCAGCTCACTCCATTTAAAGAAATACTCTGAAGTGGACTGAAATCACAGCTGGCCTTGCACATCATTGGTACTAAAAATTTGGAGACTATCTGAAGGCAAATCTTAAATGATAGAAGGAGCCTTTAACACAAACAGCTGACATGAACAGCAATATCCAGACAAGGGCAGAACATTCCTGCGTCGTGTTTTTCAAGCACATAATTCCTGTTTCCCACGATAACATTTTTAGTGAAAAACAAACAAAACTCCATAAAACCTACAGTATATGAAAACTTAAGACATAACAATAATGAAAAAATGGTATTGAGTATACTTGATAATGATGTACACTTTAAAACAAATCAATAGACTATGATGTAAACAAAACAGTAAGATAACACTTTAAAAACAAGACAAACATTTATCCATCGATAGTATACAGTAAACCAACAGTCCGCTGTGCAGATGCACTTATCAGGATGGTAGTCATAAAATGATTAAGTGTGTTAAAGTAATGTGTTATAAAAGTCTATTATAATTTTCTACTTGTATATCTCATATAACAGAGCGCTGTTTGTTAATTGTTTCTATAGTGCTTTTTTTTTTTTTCTTTTTTTTTTTTTCTTTTTTTTCTTTTTTTTTGACATTCCCATTGATCAGTTTTTGGTTAACATGTAGGCTGCAACAGGCTTACTGTAGAGGTGGTAAAGAACGATAGAAGGGAAGAGGGGATATATACAGAAAGGCCATGCGCAGCTTCCCACCAAGAAGTCCTGGTGCTCCATAATTTTATGGTTCAGAATTTCAACATGGTCTGCTGCAAGGGAAAGAGAAAACAGAGAGTGAGACGTCAGGTATTTTTTTCTGTAGAAGTCATTCTATTAAGACGCATCTGCATCCTCACTGCATTGCCTCTGAGGTTGCTATTAGCACGTCGTGGAGAGAAAATGGTTTATTCCCTTAATTTTCTGACATAGGGTGAAATTGCTAATAACACACTTGGCATCCTCTTTAATCAGCACTTAAGGCTTTCCATTTCCAGCACGCTTCACACATGCTGACAAAACAATCTGTGGAATGGGAAGGTGGGAGAATAACGATCTTGTTGGTGAGACAAGATGGCAGGTAGAGAGCGGCTGATGAGAGGGCCAGAGGAATCCCTGACTGCTGCTCCCTCCTGTTCACTGTGAAGATACTTACATTAAAATCTAATCCCAGAGAGCCAAAGGTGAATCAGACACAAAAACCTTGTGCTCAGGCGGCCCTCCTCTGGGAGAAAATCTCCTCTCCTGGGATGTACTTGTGAAAATCCTCCCTGCAAAGAGCTAGGCCAGCCAGCCTGGCTACCAGGACCTGGTCAACCGTGGAGAAAAACATCTGCCACAGCAGATTCTATTACCAAACTCCCACTCACAGCAGCTCTGGGAATTCACCTTCTGGCACTGCAGAATGCCAACTAAGATCCTTATCTGGCAAAAAACCAGGAGCACAAGGACAACTTCACATGCTCGGGTGGCTGCATGAAACAGGATCAAAATACAAAGGCTCCTATGTGGGAATGGTCACTAGTGGGCCTGTGAGCACTGGGGACACTGGAAGAAATCAATCACATTTACAGACTGGTAGAAAAGAGCTGTGTCCCATAGCTGCATGGTGGTGAGAGGACAAGCACATCTGGCAGAGTGCATCTGGTCAGGCATGTGGTCACAGCTCCCTGGTGAAGAACAGGCTGCTTGTCTGGTGCAGACACTCTCCAAGCCCAGTAGGCAGGTCCACAGGAGATCCAACCCAATATAAAGTGTTTGACCCTACTTCTTTCAGGCAAGAGTTTTCACTGTCCTTAAAAGCATGGCTGACTCGACAGACTGTACCATGCTCACTGTTTGCTAAATGAAGCTATTTCATGGAATTTTCTTTCCTACTCTGAAATCATTAGTAACTGTCAGTGTGAGTTTAAGCACACACACAGAAGCGAAAAGAATCCAGAAAAAAAAAGAAATTTCCTGAAATAAATAGAGAAATCAATCTCAAAGAGTTCACTAATGAGGTTCTTCCAATGCAAATGATCTCCTTATCGGGTGGAACAGACTGTTTTGCATGTGTTATGGAAATCGTGGAACATGTCAGGTGTCACGTCTGTCTGTTGTTTAGGAGAGCAATGTACTGCACAGCACAGAATGTTTTCACTGACACAGATACCTCATTGCTCACCTACACTAACTGGGCTCCACGGCCACCGTGAGCAGGCAGTTTATACGTACGACAGCTTATGAAGGTCACCAGAGATAAAGGACACCACTGACACGAGTGACTTCTGTCAGCTGCTAAAGATATAATTAGAGAATTGCTTGCCAAATTAATTTCCAGCATTTAAGTACTTGCTTGTAATACATGATCTAAAGAAGAAATGGGTTGCATATCTGCGGCCCGCGTTGGGAAAATCTGGTGAATTCTTGTTGAAGGGGCTGAACTGCTCGTTCATCTCCTGGGGTGAAAAATAAAGTGATGAACTAAAATCCTCAAGGGATTCTCTCTCATGAATATTAGCTAACTCTTACAAATAGAAGAAATGGAAAAAATAACACTGCTGCTAAGGCTGCAAAATGCTCTGTAATTCAAAGGAAAGGATAAACTACGTTCTTCTCAGTCATAAAAGCCCAGCAGCCCAGGATCTGCACGTGTCATGAAGGCTATGCTGCTTGTGGACCTGTGAAGAAAAGTACCACGGGCCATGCCCCACTGTGGTTAACAGATCTCTGCCCAACCCCAGCCTGTCCTGCTGATGCACAGCAGCTGAGGATGACCCAGTCCTGCTTACCTCAGGAAAAGGAATACACCACTAACAGCAAAACTCGAGTTTCACCTTTTCAGCTGACTCATTACCAGAGCAGTCTTTACCAGCAATAGCATGAACCCCTGAGGCACCTGCAGGCTGCTGGGAGCTGTGCAGAGCAAGAGTAACTTGCAAACATAACCGTCAGACTCAGGGGGATGCAAGAAAGGGAGGCTACAAACCACACAAAACAGCTATTTTAGACACAACAAAACACTGCTTGTTGTAAGCCACAGGGCTGGTCTGTATCTGTGCTGCAGCTGCTGAATTGCTGTTAACTTGGTAGAGAGCAGAGCCACTGGGTCCCGCAGGCTGAGACCCACTGCCCAAAGCAGCCCCTTTTGGGGGACGCAGTGCCCTTGTAACAAAGCAATCCACTGTAAAGAGAAATACTGAAAAGCAACTTACTGTTCTATCGGGAACTTCTACATCTGTGAAACAAACATGCTGCTACTCAGTTCATCTACTGATAACTGGGATATCTACAGCAAAGAAAACAAAGAACACAACACATTAAAACATTGCTTTGAAATCCGTCTCTTCATTCTGTCTTCAGTTTCAGGTTAGCAAATACATCAGCATCTTATAAAACAGGATCCACTCCCAAGTTGCCTTTACTTCGCCACACATTAAGTACGACATAGCTGCATCACTACTGATGCCTCGTGGACTATGCGGTGATCGTACTGGGATTTTAGCTCCATGGACTACAGGTAAGACAAATGCTCTGAAATTAGCTGGCTGAGACATAAGGAGCATAGCTTTGTCCAGACTCATACAGCCACAGAGCAACACTGCACAGAAATTTCTGCTTTCTTCTCATGACCAATACGAGTATGAGGAAGACCTTCCCTACCTGACAACTACAACACAGCACGGAGAAAGAACAGCAATACCTACTGCAAGCAGCAAAGCACTGCCGAGGACTTAACACGGGTAAAACTTCTCCTGAAAGCTTTATAACCTCATGCTGACAAAAGACTGCAGGAAACCCCCTGAGATCGTAATGACATTCAGCATGGCTAACAGCATCCTACTGAATAAAGCGATGCCCCATTTTCTCTGCAATAGCTCTAAACCTGAGCACGACGAAGAACTAAGAAAGCTACAACTTGTTTTGGGGAGTCGGGGGGAAGCACTTGACATTTCTCTGGCCTCAGTGGAAAAAGTTGTGGCACACCGAATTGTCAGGAAGCATCACTAGGACAGGTTGTGCGTATACAGTTCGGGACGGGTGCGGAAGCAGCCATCACAACTCAGTATCTTCAGAGGAAAGTTTTGGAAAGAGTTATGGCTCGGCAGACATGCATGGAGTCCTGGACACTTATGGCAGTGCTGCAACGGCACGTACTGCACATCCAGAGTCATTTCTGTAGGGATGGGTGACATTACTGGTGTAAATAAGCTTCAGACTTCATCGCCTCAACCCCGTTTTTTTTTCGTTTGGTTGGTTTTTTGAGTTGTTTTTAGAGTCCAATTTCGCAATATGGGGGGAGGCCGCTTTGTGTTTCCACTTCCACTTTCCAGCCGGGAGAGGACATGCCAAAATACCACAGGGAAGGATGCTCGGGGTGGTATTTCTGCTTGAGACTGAAAGCAGAAGTGCTGCAGGTCCAAGTGCAACAGAGGAGTTTTGCAGCCCGAGTTCTGAGTCCTGGGGCACTTTGGAGAAGGCAGCGAAGCACCCAGAGCTGCGGGGCCGTGCCCTGCCAGTCGCCCATCCCTACGCTGCCGCCGCAGCGGTTCCAGCCGGTGCCCCCTCACCGATCCCCAGACAAACTGCGCTGCCTCTGCGCGCCCGAGCCTGCACCGAGCCGGGCGGGACTGGGAGCCCTCGCCCCGGTCCTCGAGATCTGAACACACGTGAAAGAAAGCCATTGAAAGGGCCAAACCTGATTGGCGGTAGCTGTTGCAGCGAAGGGGACGCTGGTGGCAGGAGTTGTTGCTGCAGACACAGTGGTGGGCGTAGCACCGTGCATCATGGGCACTTTCGGAAGGGAACCATGGAAGCGACATACGGGAGGGTGGAGCGTTTTTATGTAACCATGGCAACATGTGGTGGATTTGGGGGCGTGGCAGGAATCACAGCAACAAGCCATGTGACATCGTCATGAAGGACACATCGGGGCGCAGCATGCAATCACAGTGCAAAGCAAGACAGCGTTGGGAAAAAAAATAAACAAGAGAGAAGGGGAAAAGCCAATTACAATTATAATTAAGGAAAAAACCAAAACATTCTCAACACTTAGTACATTTATAAGCAGAACAATGATGTATTAGACTCCAAAGGCCAAATTTCCAAAGGGGGGGAGGGAGGGTGTGCTAGCAAAAGCCCACGTCAGCTCGCACCCCTGGGGAGTTAGACGCAGCCAGTGCACGTTCCTTTGGCTGGGGACATTTTGGCAAGCGCACCCTCCCGCCCGCCTTGGGAAGCTCATCCCCTTCCCTCCCCTCCCCGTCCCCGCCAGGAACCAGGGGAACTCAGGGGAACTCTGCGAGCCATGGCAGCGCGTTGCACGGCTGGGGCCTGGGGCACAGCTGCAGTCTGGCCGCCATCCTGCCAGGCCGCAGCTGCAGCAGCCCTTTGCCACGTTTTGTTGTCTCTGCTGCAGGGACGTTTCGGCACAGTACGGGGTGAGGGCACTGCAGGAGATGGCTGGCAGCCCGAGCTCTCTCCCCACGATTCCAGCGTGCTTCCTCACTGTGCTAATTCTAGAGGATTTGATGGGATTCCCTCCTTGCAAGATAGGAGGGGATGGAAAGGGGAGGAGGCCAAGAGGGAGAAACACAAGAGTGCATCCGACGCTCACAACTGGCGGGAGAGCATCCAGAAGGGCAGTGCGGCAGCGGGGAGCTCAGCAGCCTCTCCAAGCTGCGAGGAGCCGGAGGGGATGCTCTGGGGCACCCACAGATCTAGGAAGCAGGGGAAGGATGCTGCCCTGGACCGCTCCAACCTGGAGACAACTCTTTCTGGCCAGGCAGGAGCTGGGAGCGGAGCAGCAGGCAGCATGGAGGAGCCAGCAGCCCTTGGCAACTCCTTCTCCAAGGGGCTGGGTGAATCTGTGGGCAACCTGAATGCCAGGAGCCACACCTAGGGTGTCAACCGGGGATACCCACAGCCCCGGCTGTCTGTGTGTGTGCTCCCACCCGGCCCATCTCAGCACACGCGTGGGATTCAGCAAAGTCCATCAGAGCTGGAAGCTGGAGCCTGCAGGAGCGCTCTCAGGGTTCAGCAGCAGGGTAACCGTGTGCCCACAGGGCCCCCTGCTCCAGTGGGTTGCCTTCAGGTGGAAGCAGCAGCCTGTAGGATGGGGAGCTTCAAGAGCAGAGCGCTTAGCTGTTTCTGCCAAAGCTGCTGGCTTTCAGACTTCCCCAAACTGCTCCCCAGGGCTCCTGCTCCCCCCTCTCACTCTGCCCGAAGCAGGCACACTCCTATCCAGGATGACTGTTGACTTGCATAACCTCAGCTGGCGGCTGAAAGCTCAGATTTCGCTCACGCTGCTGTGCCCAGCAGCTGTACATAGAGGTGGGGGTCCCTCAAAGACCCACACAAGCTCCAAGCGTGACCCAGATCCTGAGACTGAGCATTCTGGATCCCCGCAGAAGCAGAGAGCGTCTTCTCAGCCCTGCTGCCTGATTGCATCCCTGGTCCCCTGTTCACAGTTCCTTGAGCCTGCGCTGCTAAAAAGTCACTAACGAGATGAATCTTCAACTGGTCCACAGTATTAGCCCTGCTTCACTCACTGTACCATTGGCACCCTGCTCTGGCAAAGGGCCTGCCTCTAGATCCGTTCCTTCTCAGAGCCTTTATTAAACCAGTCTCTTAAAATGTCCTCAGGACAACCAAAAACCTGAACTCTAATATACCTGATACAAAAACAGCAAACCAACAGGATTCTCCCACTGCTATTCCTTTTGTTGGACAACTTAAATGGGTTGTAAAGACATTCATGTTGACAAATTTTTCTTTCTGCAGCAGAACTAAATAGGGGTGGGAATGCATTGCCTTGGATTCTCGTATTAGTCACACGAAACACTGCACTGCACAGAAATTAAAAGGGGTACAACCATTTAAGCCTCAAAGAAGACAGCGGATAGACAGTCACACCACTCAGCCACCCAGGTTCTCACTGATGCATACTGACTTGCTGTCTCTTTCAGATTAGGAAAAAGTTGAGAAGTTTGTGTAGAAAAACCTACCAACGCTTGCAGTGGGTGTCATGCACAGAACTGACCCTGCGCACCATGCATTGAAGCGTGGAAAGATGAACAAAAGGGATATTTCATTAGTGAAGCTTCAGTGTTAGAAATCACTTTAACTAAAAAGCAGGTATTCTCTTTGCAGCATTCAATATTTAAGCACATGCAAAACATTCTGCATATTGATACATAAATAGTTTAAACTCAGTTTTAAGAGATAGTAGCAAAACAAATTAATTCTTGCATTCTTGGGTAGTAGAAAATGTTATTTCTTTTTCCACCCTGGTATTAAATGATGTGATCTGTTCTACAAATCGGTTGCTTTGTTGTTTTTTTTTTTATTATCAGGTGTATTGATTTCTTTCCAATCACAGAAGCAGACAAGACTGCCTTATAGGAACATCACACTCATGTTAAAACCAGCTTTCTAAAAGCAATTTACTCCTGTAAGCAGGGATTGGGATTCAAGGTCTCTAGTTCAAAGCTGAAAGAGGCAGTTCTTTTAGACTTGAAACAGCTGCAGTGACGACATTATTTTCAGTGTTCACCCTGATCTCCCCATCTCCATGGCAAACCATGATGCTGAGAGATCATGGCTTATCACAGAGGGAAAACTGGCACTTCAAGGACTCAATAGGAGACGCTAACAAAAGCAACTCTACCACTCAAAAGGATGTAAGCTGCTACTGCCACCGCTCTGCTCTGCTGCCAAGAGCACTGCAACGGCTTAGATCAAATTTGCAGCCTGATGCATGAGTAACGGAACATGTGGATGTGTAAACTCATCAGAGATTCATTCTCTGACTGGAAATTTACTTCTCTGATCAGCATTAATGTCCTCAGACAAGAGCCTGTGTCAGCAAACAGATCTGTTATGCATCAGCCTGTGCGCAATCCCATCGCTGAGAGACAGTGCACAACAGTATCATGAGAGTTCTGGATGAAAGCTAATTTACAGTGCTTGCATCAGAAATATGTATCTTTATGTCAGCTTTGGAGACTGCAAACTCAGGGAAGGAAAGCATGTAGCCGGCTCACAGACTTGGCATTCTAGAAAGTGTGAATGTTTCCTGAAGTTGTATTTCACTTGGCATCTGAAAGAGCTGCAGTAAGGTCAGCTCAGCCCATCCCCTCCAGAAGCACTGTGCAGACCACAAGACTCCGACTTAGTCCCTCCCTTCCTCTCCATATAAGACACTCCTTCCCTGGGAAAACATCCTGGCAACTGCTGAATTCTGAGCATCTCCAATACTCTCATGAAGACCATGAGAAAACAAAATTTAGGTCTCGACTCTCTGGATCACGTTCACAGCTGAGACACACTTTACTCTCAATACCAGGCTCTCTTAAAGCTTTTCCCGACTCCAAAGAATGGCATGGCTGAGGTCCAGGTCTACTGCATGCTTAAGTCTACTCATGGAAAAGCTTTGTATATTTTTATAAATATCACTTGGCAAATGAATACAGTGTTAAACGTTAAAAGCTTCAGGCATTTGTTTCCATATAATGCTCTGCAATGAAAATAATGATACTAAAACTAAGCTACCAACTCTTGAAACGTTCCCAATTCAGCCACTTGCAGTACTTACTACTCTAAGCAGGTTTTGTTTTCCATTTGGCTGCAGCGAACAGAGGTTAACTGGCGAGGCAGCAGTCACATCTGCCACGTCAATGTTTCGATTTCTGTATGAATTACTGAGCTGCATCTTTCAATTTTACTCTGAGACCTTAAAGGTACAACAAAAGCTGGGAGTTAAATTGCTTTTAAAAATCTCAGGCTATCATACCGGTCAAAAGACAAGCAAAAGGGAAAAATATGCCTTTAAAGGCAATTACGTAATTTGTGTTTACTGAAGATGAGCCATTCCCTCTGCAAACATAACGGCTGCTGGAATATGTAGGTCACTGAGATAGAAGGTTAGAAAGAAACCTGCAGCTTGGAGTGAGCAGGCAGCTCTAAATACAGGTCCACCAGATATTTTAACATGAGCCTTTAATATAGCTACACAAGAGTCAAAGAATTAATTTGGGATTATCCAGTTGAACCATAAGAAGGAAAAACAGGAAGTATGAATTCAAGAAACATGCAGACAGTTTTCTTAGTTGGACTGCTTTGAAAAAAGGAAAGGCTAAGAAAGGCTCTTTTAAGTGAAAAGCTCTGGACTGCATTAGGTGAAGGAAAAAAAAGTCAAACAACATACATTAACATTCCATCGATTTTTAACACGAAACTTTATACACTGATATTCTTTTGCTAAGGACTCTTACAGATCTGCTTATTAGCTCAACGTCTAGGTCACACAAAGAAAACCACGATGGAGAAAGCAAGGAGATGCTTACCTGTGGGGATGAACGTAGGCTGTTGCAACTGCATGTTGGCTAGAGCCTGTTGGTAGTGGAAAACGCTTGGGTTAAAGACTGTGGTGGCACCATTGTTTTTTTCAAGTGCTGGCCTCTTTGGTAAAGGTTGAAGTGCACCAGGCGGCAGGGCCTGTGGATAAGGGAGTCATTAAAGACAAGTGGAATAAAAAAGGGACCCAAAGTTGGTAAAACATGCAAGAAATAACTGGGGTCTTGCCTGCAAGTTACCTGAAACCGTATCAACACAACAGACAGGAAACAGAAGAGCAGCTGTATCATAGTAACAGTTGTAGGTGTGCTTACAGCTTCTCTAGGAAAGCAGTTAGTAAACACAGCAGGAGAAAGGGGCAGAGTGCAGAAAGAGGAAACACTATGGGAGATGTTCAGTAGGATTCAGCTGGGCACACAGGAGGAAAAGCTTGGGGAGGAGCAAGGGGAGAGCTGATCAGGACAGGATACCACAAAGCAGGCAATGGGCATTTAAACAAGAACACAGCAGCTGAGAGAAGCACTGGTGACTATTTAAAGATGGAAAGATTAGTATAAGCTGCAAGTGCCGTGGAAAAATAAGGGATGCCTGCCTCTGCCTATTTCAACACCTGACTACATGTACCTATGTGTATGGTTGTGGTTGCCTACACTTGTATGCAGATGTCCCACTTGTTCCAGTGGTTAAAATGGTAGCTGTGGGTGGCACATACAATATCACATTCGTAGTAAAATGCACTTTCTCTCATTTTCAGAGAGGCTGAGCAACAACACGGTGAAAACGAGGACCGATTCTCCACTGCTTGCAACAGCTGCACAGCTCACAAACAGCAGACTTGGGCTTGCTCCCAGTTTCTAGTAGTGCAGTGCTAGAAGGCCTCCAACAGTTAAATACCTCCTGCTCATTATTAGCAGTGGAAAAAGCCATTGACAAATCTGCTGTTCGAACAAGATTTGGGTGGGTCTTGCTATCAGGCAAATCCACTCTTTTTGTTCTATCACACCACAGCGCTTCTTCCAGCCCGTCAAACCTGTTTCATGACAAGACTTGGTAAAAAGCATTAACTGGACTCAGAAACTTCTCTCAGTAAGGTACTCATCATTTACAAAGCATGTCTCAACAGCAAAGTTGTATGTCAGGTTCTTAAGAAACAGGAATGTGTCTAATGATTTACAGCTTTGCCTTGTACCCAAGCAGAAACCACATTTTTTCCACGTTGTGATAGAAAAGGGTCCTTTTTAATTATGCCCTGCAGTCCTTTTGCATGTAACACTGCCATTGACGTCAGTGAGCTTTACGCACGTGGAAGTCACGCAGAATCAGGTCATTTCTGCCTGGTTGTGTTCCATATCATGCAGCAAAGCAATGGCTGAAAAACAGGCTGAGTACTTTTGTTTGTTCGAATAAATGACAGTGAAGGATGGGTAATGGAGAAAGCTTAGCTAATGAAGGGTTAAGGCTACAAACACACAGTACTTGTAAGAAAGGACACAAGAAAAGAGAATTTAAAGTGTCATGAAAATCAACACACAACACAATACAGCCTAAAGCTTGCAACAGTTTGTCACCATTTAGAAATGGGTTTCACTTCAAATTTAATTTGCTATAGGAGACTGCTCATCTGAGAAATGTTAAGCAAGATACTTTCAGGCAAAATGTTACTCCAACCTATTGCTATTCACATAGTGGCTTTTGGATGGCTTTAGTATTATTAAAAAAAAACACAAAAAATAAAAGAAGAAATTGCATTTGCAAAACTGCCCTCAGACATGCACACGTCCTCTGCTAATGTCAGCAGACAGCCAGTGCCAGCATCAGGACTTCATGATATCTTTCCAGATTTCTTCTGGCTAGTACCAAGAGACAGCAGTCACACATGAGCCAACACTCTCAGACACCAAAATCTCTTGCTTAAGATCTCCATTTCAGGATGAGGTCTTTCAGGTGAAGATGTAAATGTTTCCATTTTTAGGGCAGCCTCCACTGGTATCTATGCTAAATCTGTATCTACTATTTAATGATAGTTCCATAAATGTTCCTCCGGCACAGAACAGATTTGTAGCTTGTAGAGACTGGAGTAGCTCTGCTCACATCAGAGGTGTTTTACAGATCTACAGTAAATAACTTGCTGCTTAAATTCATGCTCCTTACTGTGCCTGACTGCAAAGCACGCTTTTTCAGATGCTTCTAAAATCTGCCTCAGAAAAAAATAAAAATTGCTAATTATAGCAAAGCAACTGTGCCAAGCATGTAATGGACTTCTGACTCCTTACTTCATGGCCAAAGGCTGTCACTTCCCCAGAAAGTCCTTTATCCCATAATGGCAGTGCCAAAAGCAGAACAGATGAAGGCTTTGAGACTTCACTATGATGTCTTGGCTCTCTACACAGGGGACAATTCCTGAGCCCACTGTTGCAGTCAGAGGGAGCATACAAACACCAACATGCCCAAGGGGTGTTGGTCACACACACAACGGTCCAACCTCTAAACCTCTAACATCACAATTGGTCCTAACTTTAAAGCCCTCGGGGGCACGGGAAAGAAAGGAGCTATGGCAATCCCATTTCTTTTGCCTGAACAGCACCTCTGGGAAATGCAAACGCATGAGCTGGATTGGAGAAGCCCCAGTATATGCAACATTTCCACAGTCTTCTAGAGAAGCAAGCAGCCTGGAGGCCAGCTTCGTAGAACAGGAGGCAGTGCCCATTTCAGCCTGGCTCTGGACACAGCCTGCTGCTCACCTGTTCCCATCCTTGGTGCTGGGGCAGTATCTGTACCACAGCACGCCCTACAGACAAACTCCAGCTGCCAAACTGTCACATCCTTGATATCCACCTACCTAATCCTTGGCTTGGCCAGCACTGTGATTGCTGAGGATGGGCGAGAGATGGCTCTGCACCTGCCCTGCTGTTTGACACATTCCCCAGGTTTGCTACAAAGCCAGAGTGCTTGGGGTTAGGAATTACTTTTGGCTTCCAAGCAAAATGTGGCAGTCCCTACAGATGAAGTACAGCACAAAGCAATGCTGCTTGGATGCAAAGAGAAATTCTAACCAAATCTAGACACTGCAGCAAACAACTGTGTTGCATGTGAAACGGGACAGCATTTCTTTAATGATCTCGGGACCATTATGCAGAAAACTAACAGCTTGTGGGGATACATTTCTGCCTGGCACCATGTCCTGGTTCCAAAGGAATTCCCCAGATGTGTCCTGTGGAACCTATAAAAGGCAATAGGAGGCTCCTCAACACTTTCTGACCTTGCTGAATTCTGTAGCAGTGCCTTCCTCCTGCAGGACAGGAGCTAGATCAGAGCAGTACAGAACTTCATAACTTTACCTCATCCTGCTGCTTGCCTTTCCCCTCTGGACAAACTTCAGTCATGACAGAAGTAGCAGTAACCTTTTAGAGTGGACAGTAGCCTTTTCTGACTCTTCTGTGTGCACAGGAGTAAGCAACCCTTGCAACATGATCATACCATGTGCTCCGGTGGCAGGGTTAATTTCTTCTGCTTAGTACCCATGTGAAAGCCCACACTGATCCCAGTGAACAATTCCCACTAAAATAATGCCAGGCAGTCCCTTATTTTTGGGCTGGGAAAGCGACATTCCTGCTGGAATTGGAGCAATCTGAACATAAAGATTTCAGTCCCTTCTCTGCATGGCATAGAAATAAATCCTTTGCCATGAATGACAGACAAAAATGCAGTGCATGCCTAAGTCAAGATTTCCCACGTGCAGGTTAACAACATATTTTTTGCAAGGCAGGAACTGGATTAAATCTTTGCAACAAACAATTTAATTGCTGCTCCAAGTTCCCTTCTGATCAGTATCTCCTGGGAGCAGATCACACTTTCCCTCCTCTGCACTTAGCCGGGAGGGCTGGGTCTGTATCTGCCTTGCTGTTTCAGCCCAAGTCACAACACACAGAATGCTCTGAAAGAGGGCAGAGGTTGCACCCATTCCCTGGGCAAGCAGCAGAGTCAACCCAAGCAGTTTCCTCTGAAGACTACGTATGCTCTTATCAGTACCATAAATTGTTCTCCAGCACAGCCTCCACAAAAGGTTCAGAGGAGGTGACATATTCCAACAATGTGGCTGAAAGCATTCAGATGTTCCAAGGCAGGAAGACTATTAAAAATCACTTATCTGATCAGGTTTTGTTCATGGAGAAGGTCAGAAGGGCAGGAGAGCTACAGAGTTTTCCCAACATCAGCCAGATGGAATCCTCTCGGAGGGGTGGCTCCCCGGAGGGCAGCCAGGCACCGCATGGGTCACTGCCTGTGGGCTTTGGGGCTGTGCTGCACCAGCAGTGAGCACGGGAGGCTATTGTGTCAGGCCCTGTTGTGTCAGTCATTTGGTGTCAGGCAGGGTGTAATTCCAGCCTGCTGGCGGAAGCTGGTCCCTAACAAGACTTCCTCATGCTGCTGTCTAAAGCTCCAACAGGAAAGCCTGTGGACTACTTAAAAAACAGCAACAACAAACAACACACAACACCAGTCTTACTGAGTTGCCCCAGGGGCTTTGCCTCTGGCCAAACTCAATGCAATTATCTTTTTTCATTTACATTTGCCCCAAGAGCTTAAAGAAACATCCTCATTCTGGGAAAAGCAGCCTCTCTGGCCTGACCATACATTCACTGGCACTGGAGGGAGCATTCATCCCACTGACACTTCTGCTTCCCAACACTGCGAATGGAGAGCAACGATCCTCTGCGTTCACTGTTCCCTTTCTCCTTACATCTGAGGGACACGAGATATTTTCAGGACGTAGTCAATCCCTCGCATGGAGGTGAATGGGAGGGAATTGTCTTAGCAGGCTTCTGACCTAGTGTATCACAAAGAGGCAGACTGCTGCTGCAGTTGGAAAACCACCTAAAAACCCCAAGCTGCAACAGAAAAGCCCCCAGGAATACTGAGCACTTCCAAAAGGCAGCTTCAAGAGGAAAAGCTCAGCAGGTTAACGGGTGGCGTGGGGATGCAGGACGGCATGTCTGAAGGGACACCAACATTCCTGGTGGGATGGGCAGTCTCCCAGGCACTATCACAACAGATAAGCGAGGAAGGCTTTCATGCAGATGGTTACGTGCAAAGCGAGAAGGTGAAAGGTCCAAGTACCAGGTCAAAGGTTGCCTCCAGCGGTCGCTTCAGTGATCTGACAGCTGGTTGAGTCTTAATTAGCAGGCAGCGAGCACATGATGGCAATGGGCCAGGGAGGGGTGGGGGGTCAAGCACAGTAACAGAACAGCGAGCAGAGGTGTGTCAAGAGAGAAGAGTTTGGGGAGGCGAAGAGAAAAAAAAAATAAAATGAATGCATTACACAATATATTAAGAAGACGAGGCATGCACAACATGGGGTGCTAGGTGACTACCTGGCCTAGTGGCTAGTCAGCTATTTAGCCTCAGTACACCTCAAAACTACAGAAGCATCAGCAGTGTGTGCACTAGAGTACCGTCACTGCAGCTCAGGGATTAGCTGCAGGCAGATGGGCACGGGGACCAGCACCAGCCCTGCAGCTCTGCACAGAGGTCAGCAAGAGGGCTGGTGGCAAGAAGAGGTAAAGCATGCTCAGGCACTACAGAAGTGTGATCCCAAAGCAGGGACTGAGCCTGACCCAATTCATTCAGCTGCGCTGCACAGGCTGCAGCCAAGCAGCTGTGAGTGAAGCTACGGCTCGCGTGTCAAGTCACCGCAGGACTGCGTCCTTCAGAAACGTCTGCTGAATCTGGATTTGAAATCAGTCCACATCTGTTTTAGGAGGACTTATTGTGCCCATTTGTCTGGCATGCTTTCTTTTCTTTCTTTGCTTTTATCTAAGGAGATTGGGTACCAGTTTTCCCTTGAATAAGATCTTATTCCTCAACAGGTATAGTAAATGCATCAAACCTTGAAAAGTCAATGAATAATGTAAGCTGTTTTGGTGGCAAGGGTGATGCAACAAGCCATCAATAAATATTTTAAAGGTTCTAGTTAACAGCATACAAATAAGGTTAATTACGTTTTTAAGAGAAGCCAGCAGCATGAATAAAACATGTTTTGGCTTTGGTTAAGTAGCAGTGTCCTGGATAATTAGTGAAAAAGCAAAATGGCAATTGCAAAAAACACAAGGGTTTCATGTCAGAAGGTCCTTTTTCAACAGACCTTGCCTGTTGTTTCAACATACCAGAAACAGTAAGAAATACAGCACATAAACCACGCAGGACAGAGAAATATTGCAGCACAAATTGGTTCTTCAAATTACATTCCAGGTAATACTGATGTTGCCAGGAAGGCAGCTGTTTAATTTCTGTAACCCTTCCCTTTTTTTGTGTTCTGTTTTGCCATGAATGAAACCCAACCTCATTTACTGTCTTATTCAGAACACTTTTAGTAGCCTTACTGCTAAATCATATAGGGGGCACGAACCTTCTTCAGGTTAGTTATTCAAGTAATCACAGAACCAAAGAGGCTGGGAGGTCCAAGCACCAGCTCAAAGCAGGGGCAGCCAGAGTGCCTCGCTCAGGACTGCATCCACACAGGTTTGAGTATCTCCAAGGACAGAGTGACCTATTCTGGTCATTGAAAACCCCTCACAGTTGAATTTGGTTTTTTCCCTGTACTTCAATTTGGGCCCACTGCCTCTTGTCCTTTCACTGAGCGCTGTCTGCCTCTATCTTCTTTACTTCCCCATCAGGAATTTATACATCTTACATATGGGTACAATCCCCCTGGGTCTCTTCTTCCTCAGGCTGAACAGTCCCAGCTCTCTCAGCCTCAATTTCACTGTGTGTGTCAGATGCTCCAAGCTCTTCATCATCTAAACAGCCCTTTGCTGGACTCACTCCAGTACATCCACGTCTGGCACCGGGGAGCCCAGCAATGACACAGCACTGCAGCTGTGGCCTCAGCAGAATTCAGAAGAGAAGGATCCACCTCCCTTGATTTGCTGACACTGCTCTTCCTAATGCAGCCCGGGATGCTGTTGGCCATCTTTGCCATGAGGGCACAAGAAACATTTATCATGACAATACTGTCCCCACTCTGGACAATTTAAACACTACAATTAGATTTTCATAACACAATGTCAAATGCAAATTTCCAACTAGAATACATAGATGCCATTAAAGTGCAGTCAATAGAACAACAAACATTTACTCCATCTAGGAATCTGATCCATCCTGCTAAGTTTCCCATGAGTTGTTTTCATAATTCCAGGCATTAGAAATCACACTGCAAATTAAAGTGCAAGTGGGACCATCCTTACCAGAGAACCAAAAGGGTCAGAAGCCCTCCTTGACTGGAGAATTGTCATTTCACTAAGCCTTGACAAAGGTAACAGGCATGAGTTTCCTGTTTGCTAGACTAGAATGACTGATGTCTTGTTTGCTCTAAAGTAAGTGGAAATTTTGCTACTGACTTCAAGAAGCCAGGTTTTGCCTGTAAAGGATGTATTACGAGATGAGCATTCTGTCCTTTCATCAAGTGCTGAAGAAGCTGAACTGACGCCTGTGACTTAGCTAGGAAGGTGTTTGTTTTGTGTGCAGCTGAGCTTGCTTTCATGACGCATGTCACCCCATGATGTTATGTTAGAAAGTAACAAGGTTTGCCACTGCGTCCCTAACTGCTGAGCTGCGCTGCATCACTCAGTGCTTCATGCTACAGCACGTGCATACAAAGGATGGAGAGGAGGGATTCACACTGCACATGCTCTCAGCTCTCCAATCAGCCATTTACAAAATAATCTACTTTTCCACAAATGACACAAATAAAATCTCTTAGCAATGGAAATACAGCTTGATAAGAGCTCTACTTACCATTGCAGCTGCAGCTGTCTGGTTCACCTGATGTTGAGCTGCCTTGATTTTGGCTTGCAGGTGTGCAGGGGGATGAAAGTACTTGCATTTCTCCCTAGAGCATCGACCTTTGATGTAATCCATGCAAACTGTAACAGTGTTTTCATTTGTGTCTATCATCGCAATATCTATAGGGTGAGCGTAGCGGCAGTCGTTCTCACCACGTGTGCAATTTCCACGCTGAAACTCTCGACAAACCTTAGGAGAAAGTCACATTGTTGAAAAAGACATCGTGCTGCTCTTCAGTGCTCTCAGCACTGCATATGAGTTTGGGTGGCTGCATTAAGTGACACGCATATTCTAAATCCATGCTGAATTTGGGCACCGCTTACGCAGTCACAGGGCAACTGGTGCCACTCACAACTGGCTCAGGAGAGGGAAACCCAGTGTTACCAAGGCCAATTACCAAAGTAATGCAAGTGCAAGGAAAGCACAGAATCTGCGTGAAATGGAAAGTGACCTGAATCCCAAATCTGGTAAGTCAATGGTATTTTGCCAATATGTAGAGATCTCAGTATCCTTCCCCTGTCTCTAAAGCTCAGATTTTAATAATTTTGCCATTTGTGCCTCAGGGGGATTATGCCTCTTTTACAGAGCACACTCTTGGGTAGGACTTTTAATTCTCCATGCTGCAAGCTGCTGTATTCACAACAGGTACTTATTCTTAAATGAGGAGCCTCTTTCATGCAAATAGTCTCACTGCCCTCCATAATAAACCTCTGACCTTAGGGTTACATGACAGTGCATTTAATTACACTGCCATCCATTCTAAGGTGCTGCCCAAACTGCTGGCTTTAAAAATACCTTGCAGCTCCTCACACATTACGAGCACTGAAGCATCAAAAGCAGAGAAAAAAGTTTCACAAAATGGAGCTTCCTTGTCTGAAGGTATGAAGGAACTAAGAAAAATTATTATGCCCATAGCCAGTGGTGTAAATCACATACACCATCAGACTGTGCAGGGAAAGGTAAGACATCACGTGAGAATGGAAGCAATCAGCAAAGCATTAAGAAGCACGTAACACAAAACAATCTGGTTTCAAATTATACCCTTTTCCACTGTCTTCCAGTGTTATAATTTACACCTGCAGGAATCTCTGAATTCAAGTCCTCAGCCCTTATTTCCTGCAGAGCTTCTACCAAGGGTCTGAAAGACATCTGCACTCCTTAAATGCCATAGCAAATCAAAGTGCCATAGCAATCCTGGTGGGGGAATGTGCTTCCAGTGCCTCACACTCAGCAGCCCCAACAGTCCAAGGCTTGCTGCCTTCTGTAAGAACTTAGCAAGCTTATCTCAAGACAAGAGAAGTGTCTGTTCCTTCCACCCTACTGTTCTCATTCCAAAACATCTCCCACTCAACTCGGTGAAAGGGCAGATTATCTGCTTGCTTTTATTTATTTTTTATTTCCAGTGATTTCAAAGCACTTGGGATCAGTCCCCACATGAATCTGCTCCAGCAGAGAGCAGCAGCCCTGTGACAGAACTGCAACTTTGCACTGCGCTGCACCAGGTCACTGTGGCAGAGTGCAGCAGCTGGGGCAATGCACCCTGTTCATTCCCTTTAGCAGTATGAAAACAGACATCCAAATACCTCCAGTTTGTCCGTACGCATCAGTTTCTGGCCAGCAGAGCTTCCTGGTACCGTAACAGTTGGATTTCCAGAAACCAGGACAGGAGTATTTGGTAAAAGCTCCGCAGGAACCAAGCCCATCCCAGGAGAAACGTGACTCAGGTAGGGACTAAAAGCCATGGTGGGGCTTGTTGCAAGCGATGGAGTCACAGGAAATGTTGTCTGTGCATAGAAAAAGGAGAAACAAAATATTAGTCAAAGAGCCCTGTCTTGGATTACCCAGTCAAAGCCTTACAGCACTTCAATCCTTTTAAGCAAATCGATAAGCAACATTAAAACTCTGTGCTCTTCAATCTATTCATTTATTGCCATTTACTTGCGATCCATTCGTTTCTCCTGAGTCACAAATTCATGACTCATCCTGAACATAAGGCATCTTTATTTGTCAGATCAAAGTATATTGATGATCTTTATAGTTTAATGACACAATTAAGGATTTCATGCCAGCAATTAAGGCAGGTTCAAATTAAACAGACTTCTCACTCCCAAAGAAATGCCTCAGCTTTTGTATGTCTACACTGCAATGCTGCACAGAGACCTCAAGGTAAATGGAAGCTTCAGGATCTAGAAGCACGTACCACAGTTAGCTTCATGGTTGAATTTACTACCAACTTGCATTGTGCTTCATGTTACCATGGATAGTCTGGCTCGGGTAGACAAATTGGATGATTTAGAGTCATGAGAAGCATTTCTGCTCTGGTGCCCTTCAAGGTCTAGCATCCTGCACACTGAGGAATTTGTTCAGGACTGTCAACGTCCTCCAGGCAAAAGCCATTTTGCAGAAACACCTTGAGCCTGTTTTCCATGGGAACGGAGACAAGAGGACACGCAGTAACACAGTATGCTAGACCTCACAGATTTGCAAGAGCAGACAGTTCTCCGGCTTGAAAGAGACATGGACAGAGTGTGCCAGATGATGTTCAGGTGGGCCAGTACCACACTCAGGACCCCATCCATCCTGTGAGGAGTGATGTTCCCAGGAGGGACAGAAGAGCAGACCACGAAGACCTGGACTGCTTTTGAAACCTGAATTGCCTTAGGCAGGCCCTGCAGGAAGAGCGGTGAAGAACGCAGGTGGGCCGATCAGCTTCCCCTGCCTGAACTTCTTCAGCAGCTACAGTCTATCAAAATTTCTTTTTTTCTGGATAAGCAAACTCCTAAACTGAACTCCTAAGTAGCGACAGAATGTTAAGCCTAAGAACAGCCCCTAATCAAGGAGCCTGTGAAACCTTAAAGCACCAGGTGACTAAAACACCCCCCTTCCCTCCCAGATGGCCAAAGCCTGCAAGGAAGCACTTCTACTCCTGTAACAGTAGCTTGACAAGCCCTCAGGGAAAGTAACCTCTGACTTGCAGCCCTTTTTATTTTTCCTTCTGTCACCTGTTCCGCTGGAAACTCTGGGTTACAGTTAAAGCTTGCTCACATTTGCTGGCACATATGACACTGCCCTCAGCAGCTAGAGCCTCTGCTCAGCAAGAAACACAAGTGTGCTTACAAAGAGCCTTTAGGCAGTTCTTTGGCCACTCACATCACCCCTTCCTAGCTTTTATTTTTGTACTTTGAATCTCACGGCTTTCTGTAAGAAACTGCACATGAATAGTTTGTTTCTTGACAGCATTCTCACCCCAGTAATTTGATACACTAGGAAACACCTTGCTAGCTGTGATCTGGAATAAAGCAGCCCACAGCAACAACAGCTAAGCTGTCCTAACCTATCTCCAGCTTAATGATGCCCTGTTCTTAGGGTCAGAGGGATAGTAACAGCACCTGAGCTGATGGGAAAGGGGACGACAGGCCACATCCAGCATACACTTTCTCCTCCACAATGACAAGACACAGCCTGCTGAATCAGTGGACTTTGGTGCTTTAAGTGCAGTGAACCAAATAATCCTCTAAGAGGGATTTCCAATTTTCCTTCTTTTGAGCCTGATCCAAACCCCGCTTCAGCTGATAGGAGATTTTGACTATTAAACCCAGAGATCCTTCAGTCCACAGCCCTTTATTAGATCATTTTGTTCTCTCTTTGGCTCACGGACACGTTACACCTTCTGCAGCTAGAAAAGCTCTTTAAGGATCTTCAAACACTGTGACTCCCTGAACACTTCAGTGAGAAGGCAGCATCCATTAAGACTGTTTTCTTTTGTATGAGTACTAGTAATTACAGTGACATCTGCTGAACTTCTGTCATCGTTCAAACTGTTAATTCTATTTTGAGGAGCTTCTTCAGCCTGGACAGTCTTTACAGGGCTGTGCCGAGGCCTGACACATGTTGCCAGCACTTCTTTTATGCATCCACAATAGCTCCAACATTGCAGTATGTGTGCCATGCATAAATACGTGGGCAAATCTAGCCATTGCATTTCCAGCACCTAGTACAGCAGGAATCCCAGTTATCCCAGCACAGCAGCATGGATGGTTGGAAATGGAGATGGTTGGAGAGGCGCTCCTCCCACTGCCCCAGTAGAAGATGCTGGAGAACTCATGGAGAAAGGCTGGGGGTTTGCAACCCCTCACACTGGATGAACTCACCAGAAACCTGTAGGAGTGTATTTGAAATGTTCCTGAAGAGATTGTATGTCAGCATACAACTTGAAAACAGGTCCTGCACTGTGAAACACTGTCCCTGTCTTAAAGGCCATACTACCAAGAGTAGTTCCTCAGTGGGAGCAAGTAGCACAAGCTGATGAACAGGAGCCTGATCTAAAGCAAATGAAGGAAAGATGTCCCTGAAGAGGAGTTGGAGTGCAATCTCTTCTTGGCTCTGGGACCTGCAGAGGGATGCATGAAGGAACAGGATGGCTTTTGCTTTCTAGCTGGCACTAGCCATCCACCAATCTCCATGCCCTGCCTGGCATCTGCTGCAGCATTCCCAAGGTTTCATAACCATTTATTCCTTCTGCCTGAACAGCAGTACCTGATGCTGCTGACTGAAAGCTACAGCTCTGCTCCACACCCTGCCCAGGGGCAGCAATTAGAAACCCAGGGTTCATGCAGGCACCGCCACCCAGAGACCCACATGCTCCATCCCAGACCTCATCAGGCCACAGCTGCCAGCAGCTCTTCCCAGAAACCTTGGATTCACAGAAGAGCCTGAATCCAGTCCAAGGTTCCTGCTTCCAGGAAACTCATGAGAGCGGAGGCAAAGCTTAGCTGGAGGACGGCTGTACGAAAACCCAGACAAACAACCGAAGAACCAGCAGACCTCACTCAATGCATTAAACCTCAAAGCGCTGTTTTCAAGTCTGAAGCATATCAAATGCACTGAGAACGACTCCTTTGCAAGCTGGCATCGGGGAGATCTATATTTACTGAGGCTGATGAGGAAAAAAGATGGGCTGTGCTCACTGCCAACCCTGACTGTCTGTCTTGGTTTGGGAAATCCAGTCTGGCTCATGCATCAGTACCAGTAATAAAAACAGTGCCAGCCAAATCTTCCCTCCCTTTACATCTGTGCAGGTCTCCCTTGCCAGGCCTGTCCCAAGGGAATACAAGCAAGTTTCTTCCTCGCAGCCAGAACACAACTGTAATTTCTACTCCAAACAGCACTTTCCTCAGGGTGCCTCCCAACCACCTCTTGTGATTGCATTTGGCCAGGAGATTCGTTGGAGAGATCAATATTTTGACTGCACACTCTAACAAAAAGCCTTCTTATCAGTGGACAGGCAAACATACTGCAGGCTCTGGACAGAGGGCTGGTAAGGTCAAGCTTTGATGCAAAACCCAACAATGCAATTCCAAATCACTGAAGTCGTTACTGCTAATGAAGCACTGTGGCCAAGCTCTTGAACAGCAGGACAAAAGCTCTGCCTCCGCGGGAACAGCAAAAAACATGTGGCTTGCCTTAAGGATTATCAGAATTTGCAAACTGCCACTCTCATTTCATACTCAGTTTAAACTGAGCAGATCACCTTGGAGGAGTAAAGAGGCTGGGACAGACAGCCACAAACACATGTGCAATGGAGGAGGATGGAATGCTGGGACAGCCCCAGGCTCCTTGAGCTGCCAGGCACCACCAGCACAGCCACCAGCCTGCCTGCTGCTGGAGCACTGCGAGGTCTGAACAGCATTGCTACAATACAGGCAGCAGCCAGCTCAGATAGTATTAAGAAGGTTCAAAGGGACCTGCGTAAGAGGCTGCTTTTAATCACTGGGAGCACAGATGATCACCTTCAGAGCAGGCAGCTGTGCAAACTACAGGTCCCCAGGCTGACTGAGGACAGAGGGAAGCCCCTAGGAGCACACGGGCCAGCTGCAGCAGAATAGGGATCACTACCAGATCTATCTCTGGAAACTTCAAGCATGTCAGACTTAGGAACCTGGACTGGTATGCTCTGGGGCAAAACAACCTAATGGAAAACATCACTTTCACTCGCTGCACCCCTTAGAGATCTTGTATATTCAGCAAATGCAGGGACAGGTTTCCTCACGGACTGTTTTTTAATAATCTTAACATATGCAAATACTACCACTAACTTCTGAGCAGAGGGAAACAGCTCACAGCATAGAGGCAGAGGGGCTCAAACCAGCAGCAGCTCACAAGACTGGTTTACTGATTATTAAAATGTTTGCAAGAATGTAAAAAGCCCAAATGGCTTTTTGTAAGACCGTATCTCAAGGAGGAATGCCTGCCAAGGACTTAGGCAGCTCTGTCCGCAGCAGACATTTATCAGATGTGGGCATTTCCCAGAGCACAGAGATGGTTGGGTAACAGTGTGAGCGCAGAGAAGGGGCTGTCCAAGGCAGAGCCATTTGTCACCACCGTGACACGTTACCTGGAACAGCTGATTTTGTTAACAAACCAGAAGTTGCATTCAATTTGCCTAACAGAAATCGTGCTGAAGCTGCAGCAGAAACACAGAGTGGGTGTGCAGAGGAAAGAGGGGAGCGGCTGTGTTTTGTTGAGCACAGCCCAAATGCTGCCTCAGGCAGGAAGTGTTGATGCTGAGTTACCTCAGACCCTAAAAAGAGAAAGCCTGAAAATGAGAGATGGTGTGGATACAGAGGTGCTGTTGGCCTGGAGGACAGGGGCAGCTAAGAAGCTGCGCAAGGAAACACACAAAATACAGCAGTTGCTTTTATTACAGACTAGTGATAGAAATATAGAAGATAAAGATCTTGTACTGACAAGGCTGAGGACTGATCAATATCAGACACAAGTGGTACTGTTCAGAAAAAGCTAAAGCTTGTGTTCCCATGCAATGCAACTGCATGAGACTTGCTGCAAGACAATCCCTTTAGCATGAAGGCTGAGCACGTTGCAGTGAACCCCACTGGCCAAAGCCCAGCTACTGTAAGCACCAGTCAGAGGACCAAGACGCTCCTGGCTCAAAAAGCATCTCCTTTTTGAGTTGCTGCTGCATAGAAGTCTGGTGTGAACACCTCACTGCAGTGACTGCTGAGGGATACCAGCTCCCAGGTGGGCAAAGATACCTGTGTTTACCCTTTCCTAATGTGCCTTTGACTACAGATCCAGAGGATCAGATTTTTGCTGCATGGAACAAGCATGCACCCAAAATACCAGCTCCAGTCTCCTTCACTTATTCCAACCTTGTCACTGTACTTAATCTCCTTCCTCAGCACCGTGGGGCAGCAGCAGAGACCTGCAGCACCAGAATGGATAAAGTGCTGGTCTGGTTGTGTTTAGGAGCACAGGTGACTGAGCAAAGTGCTTGACAGGACAGAAAAGATGAAGGACTTGAAAGCAAAGAGAATTCAGAGAAACAGCTTCCCAGTGGTGGAGGCAGGTGTGTCAGCACTGCAGTGCTTCACCCAGCCACCTGCTCACACAGTGCCAGCACGGCAGTGCCTTGCAACCACAGCAGAGCACTGCTGGGTCCACACAGCAGTCAGTGCCAAGCAGCTCCGAGGCCAGCACCAAAAACCAGCCTCATATTGCTGCAAAGGGGTAAAACGCAATGGAGAGGGTGGGGAATCAGGCCCAGGGTGCATCGCTTTTTGGGAGGCTTGCTCTGGTGCACAAAGGACTCAAAGTGACTGCGTCTGGGAAACAAAACTCAACACTGACTCAAGTGGCTTTCCATACCAATGCCAGAGCTCAGCTCTATTCACCTTTAAGATTTCTACTTGGTGTTCAACAGAGACAGAGAAAAATCATCCTGGAAAGCCTCCAGCACAGCTCAGCCCTAGCCAGCAGCTAAGGTGAATTGGCCTTCTGAAAGTTGACGTTTTACTACAGAGCTCTCCTTTTTGGGACCTACACGATCTCCTCAAGGCTCCCTTAAGACAAAAACAGAGCAAACATTGTTCTGTGTCCTTGCCTGACTTGTTTTGAAGTGCTGTATGAAGCATTCTGTTTAAAACTGCATGATGGGCATCAAACATTTGCGTGATTCTCAGCTTTGCACGGATGGTTAACAGCAACATCACAGAGCAAACCTGAGACTTCAGTGAAACAGCTTCATGCTAGCATTAATTCACACCTGGTAGGTTTCTGTGAGCAGCAGGCAGCACACCTGGGACAATTCTTCTCAGAGCAAGCCTTCATTAAGCTGGCATTATCAGGGTCCTGGCTATTAGTTCAGCAGGGAGATTAGCTCTTGCTGGATGTCAGCAGTGGTGCAAGTTAAGATATATGCTCATAAATGGACACATCCAACGCCATTTCAGGAAGAATGATGAGAAGTTGCAACATTAAGCACTATTTTACACATATTTTTTCTGGTGAAAATGCACTTTAAAAAGTCCGGGCATTCAGCTTTTGTTTGGAGCTATTAAACACGCTGCTCCAAATCTCATCTCCGGCAGGTATCCCAATTAAGCAGGCGTACCGTTGATCAGCTTTCTGATCACATGGAATTTGTTCCACTGCTGCATCTGAGATAATGCTTTCTGCTTTGAAGAATTTCACGTGGAGCTGAGAGGAGGCTCCACCCTTGCCATTTAAAGAGAAAAAACACTCTCAGATTGCTTCCGCCAGCAGCATCTTTGGGAAATCAGAAGCAGGTGAAAGGGCCACCTCTTGTCTGTCCTGAAATTGGTGTGGAACAAGCCAGGCAGCAGGCATTACAACGAGAGCTCATTTACTCCGAGCTCTGGGAAAGCAGGAAGCGAACAGTCATCGCAGAACCAATTCTTATTTTTCTTCTTTCCCCATGTCTCCCTCATGGCACAATTTAGAAACCAGGGGCCTTTCTCATCAGATAAGGTTACCTCTGAAATGAGAGCACTAACCAGACAAACCAACAGATTCAGTCTCAGAGGCAATTTAAAAAGCAGCAGTGAAACTGTAGTAGGAGAGAACTGGATCTGCAAGATTGCAAAGTGGGAAGATGGGAACTTTCCAAAGAGGAAATCCCAAAGGTATTTTGAATAGCCAGCCAAAGAACCACTGTGAATTCCCCACAGAGGAAAACCCCAAACAGGAAAGGTTTGCTTTCGATACAGGGCTAGGAAACCAGCGCTACCATTTTGTGGGAATCCAGGATTTCCTTCCTATGCACACTTACTTCAGTGAAAAGCAAACTCCACTAGAAGAGGTGCAAAGACGGCAGATTCAGGACCCAGAGCAACCAACAAACAGCTCATTTTCTCTTCCGCCTCACTTTCCCATCTTTGAAACGGGAAGAATTATCAGCACTGCCCCCATCTGGGGGCTTTGGAGGTGAGGCACCAAGAAGCCAAGCACTGCTTCGTAGACTTAGAGGCTAGAAGAGTGTATCTCAGGATCTAGTCAGACCTCCTGCATGGCACAGCCCAAGGAGCCTCACCCAACAACGGCACATCAAGCACACATTGCCCCAGGAAAGACATTCACCCGTGACTGAAATGGAAAATTCCTAATTAGGCTCACAGTTAAAAACGTACAGCTTATTAATGTCAGTGATGAAGAGCTACTTCAAAACCTCTGGCATTTTCTTAAGATATACTGGCAGACCAACACTCAGCAGACACAAGCCATCCTCTCCCTGGCATAACGTGGTTCTCCGGCCTGAAAACCTGCTTTAACCAACGTGTCCACAGTAGGGACAGACAGCGAAGGCTTCTCCAAACTGCTCTGCAAACAGCTATTTCCCACAGGTTTCCCTTCTTCTGGAAGAGAAATAAGTCCTTCCTACTGTTAGTATAAAACAATATTACCAAGAGAAAGAGTGACAGAGCTGTGGCATTAACAGCTCTCTGTTGGGACAGCTGGAATGAAATTGGTCCCTCAGACACAAACGTCTGGATGGAATCCATCCTTCCCAACTTCAGCCCACCAATGCAACATACCTACTGGCTTCCTGCCACAGGGCAAAGACCTCCAGCAGTCTCAGCCCAGTGCACAACAGCTATTCAGAATAAACAGAATGCACTCGAATCAAGCCACTCAGTTTCAGGGATGTACATGAACCAACTGGTCAGACTCCACCTGGTGCTAAGATGCTTCCACCTGACGCCTTGAACTCGCAGTACTCAGTTATCAGAGGAAAGGAGAGCCACAGCTCCAGAAGTAAACAGGAAGGAAAGCAGGATGAGTGTGAAACCCAACTGGCAGTGACTTACGATTGGCTGTAGCTGCGTGCCTGGTAGCATGAACTGCATCTGCTGAGCAAACATGGCTGCGGCCGTCTTTTGCTGGATCAGGTTGTTGCGTCCGTTTATTTCAAGTTGTGTTTTTAAGTGTGGGGGAGGGTGGAGATATTTGCAGTTCTCTCGGGTACACCGGCCCTGAAAAACATAACAGAACACCATTGCAGTGAGTGCAAGGCTTGTGGCAGCCAGAGAAATTTAACGCTGGGTTGTTTGGGTTACTGTAACGATACAATCAGGCAGAGGCATTTCGGTGGCTACTGCACTACTTCTGTGCTTTTCCTTTAGCAGAACAACACTTAGGTGAAGAGAAGAACAACACAATTCTGCTGCTCTGACACTAACAGAGCACTGTCAAAGTCAATCCAAAAGTGAAGCTTCCTAACATTAATTAACATGATTGAACAGAAAGAAAAAAAAAAAACCCTAAGTCTAACATAAACATCACTATTTCCAGAAGCTACTAACAACAGGTCCAGAAGCAACATCAAAAATCTCCCTTTTTCCTGTGTGGGTTGTTTTTCCTCTCCCTCCCAACACTAGACCACTTAACTGGCCCTAACAACCAGACAGAGGAACATGTCCCTACCACTATCCCAGCTGCTCTGGGTAAAATGCAAGGCAACATCTCTGTAAGAGAAGTACCACTGACCTTAAGCATGCATGTGGACTGAGATGCTGAGAACTGGGAGCAACAAGAGCAAGAGTTCAGACAATTCCCCCTTCATGCTTGCATTCGTTAACAGCCACAGTACCTTGCATCACTGACTTCTTTCTTTCCTTCCCCTAAATAAACAGAACTACAAGTGAAGCCAGGGGCTCCCAAAAAGCAGAGGTCTGCTCACATTACAGACCACCTGAAACCGTCCCTTTCAAAACCATATGAAAATTGTGCTTTGCATAAACAGTGTTTGCAGGCAAACCAAGAAAAATGCAAATAGTCGACTGAGTACAAAAAATGGTAATATATTTAAGAATAATTAATGCTTAGGTTGTTGTGGGATTTTTAAAACCTTTCTCTATGTATTTCATCTTCTAAAAAGATGTACAGAATACAAGAGACATCTTGTGCAATTTATGCATAAGTTTTATAAATAACTTCCATGCAAAAATGGTGAGGGTTTTTTTTTATGACAGTAATTCTTCCATAGCTATTCAGAGCCCCACAAAATGGGGCCAGAACTGAGGGACACAGAACTGCTACATGATGGATAACTAATAATTGTTACTGCAGACAGCAAAGGAACAGGATCATCCATTACCCAGCCCTCGTCCCAAGCATCCTCTCCAAGGGATGGACACTGAGTTCTCAGCCTCAATATAATTAAGTGCGCCTTCAAAACAAGCAAAAAAAAAACACAACAACCCAACAAACAAAAGGGCAAACGAGGTAACCTCATGTTCCTGCCTGCTGGCAGCAGAGCAGCAACCCCATAACCAGATCCACGAGGGCACCCTGTCACAAAGCACCAGACAGGGCACAGCCCCTCTGGGATGGCCCTCATCCAAACTGAGGATGCTCCCCTGGGGATTTTTAAGATCTGTCTCTGCCAGGACAGGTGGAGTCACTGCACAGGGCTGAGTAACACCGCTCAGTGCCAACGCTGTGCACCAGTGGAGGAGCTGCCTTTGGACCACCTCAGCATACCAGAGGTGGCAGCTGCTGCAGGGGAAGAGGGCTGCAGAGTGTGGGAGAGGCTGTGTGCAAGAGCATCACTAGAGACTAGCTCCTGTATCTGCTCCTTGGGGATCGGGCAGTTAAACAAAACTCCTGGCTCTCCGCTGTTATTTTTTAAAGGCAAATAATCAAGTGCAAGTGATGGGCTAAACCCTCCCAAGGTTCAGAAGCCTGCATTTGCTCAGTGAGATTCTGCCTTGCTGCTAGAGAGTGCTGAGCGGCTTCTGACAACCAAACTGCAAAAGAAGAGGCTTTTTCATGCTATCGTTTTTGGCTTCTCTGCAACCCAACAGCACCAGATCCCTAGCAGCGAGTTAATTGCTCAGAGGCCCTGAGGACATGAATCTTCACTGCCAGACATTGCTTGAAGAGAAGGTAAAATGGCACTACACAGCTTGCTGGTGCCCAGACAGCCAGCACTGCTTCGAGGCAAACAAGTGCATTAAACCTGAAGGAGAAGGAGACTCCTTTGGGATTCAGCTGGTTTGGGTCGTCCTTCCTGCTTCCCTGACCAACCCTGCTCGCCTTGCTCAAAGACAGGTGGAACAGCAAAGGCAAGCACACTGCTTCAAGGTGATGTCACACAACATCTTGAATTCAGTTTTCCAAGCCAAGCTGTTACTGTGATTCCACACGTGGCTTTCTCCCCACTGACCCAAACACACATTGAGGAGGAAGGTGGCATCTCCACAGCAAACAGGAGCCCAGCACTCAGGCTTAGAGCACATCTACTCTGTTCTGGACTGCAGCCTTCCAGGGCTTACACATTAATTCTTCCTGGTTGGAACCTGGCACAGAGTGCCTTGGGTTGGGAGAATGCAAACATATCTACCAGATTTGGAATGGATCTGTGAGGTTGTTCTTACGCTGCAGGAATGGAGGAAATGAAAAATAGCTGCCATTTTAGTGAGCAATACATTTAGGGCTGACCTCAGCTTGAGAGGGCTTTGCCATTCCAACTGAAATTTGGCACATCAATGATACCATACACCACAGTCGGTGTGAAACATTGTTCTACTTCATTCTTCCCCTCAAAACAGTTTAATTCCATCGGGGTACTAAAATCGATGCAACATCCTTGATAAGGCCTGGTCTGCTGAGCTGTGAGCAGAAAGCAGTGCCCACTGAGTGCTGCTGGTTCCAGGGGAGATAGGGAATATGTATTTGCAAGGAATTAAGAGCTGCAAAGATGCTGCTGCAGAGCAAAAACTGTAAAGTGCAGGCAATGCTGTCATTTGGGCCTCCTATGGCTCCAGGAAGACTCAATGAATCACCATGTAAATTCGGAAATCACATCTTTAGCCCAGCTCCTATTTGCTGTCATCTTGGTTTCATGCATTATCAACTGCTGCATTCCACCATGACTGCTTAGAAGCCACCAGTGAGATGGGTTTCACTCTCCTGCACCACTGCAGATTCTCCATCTGACAACAAACATTAGGAGCAACACAGAACAACACAAAATATTCCTGTCCTGGTGACCTCAGTTTAGACCTCTAGCTAAACAACACTGAAAATGCTTCATCTAGAGCAATGGGCACTTCTGAACACCCATATTAATAGAAGTAATCCCCTCCTCTACATTTCCATCACTATGTCCATAGTTCCCAGTACTTCTCAGCAACACACAAGCTTAACCACACTTATTTCAGCCCACTGAAAGCAGCCAGAAGGACGAAGGAACTGCCATTATTTGCTTCTCAGTACCAACTGCACCACAGCAGGGAGAGCAATGGGGAACTGGTGGCAAATCCGCTGTGCAGAGAGTGGGCTGGGGACAAACAAGGACAACTTCATTTCATACCTAGGGTGACCTAGGAATACAGTACGAGTCAGGTTCCAAAGCCTCAGAGGAATGTTTTTACCACTAAAAGGTGCTCACTGTTTTGATGAGGCAAGAAGCTGCAGCTCCAGCACAAAGATGGTCTCAGCAGCAGCCAGACTGGCTACGTGCATTGGGAAAGGCAAAGCCCTCAGAGCCTGACCCTTGACACGAAGCAGTGTGCTGAGCTGCTGCAAACTGAGCTGCTGCTCTGCGTAATTGGAGGAGTTTGTTCTGGTGCTGTTATTTTAGCATGATTATTGATTCCAAGGAGTACACACTGCCACCCTGCCCCAGGGTGGCACATGAGCCTCCATCCAAGGAATCACCACCCAGCAACAGACTGCTGCTGGCCCTGGGAACATGCTAAATATAGCCATCTTTTCTGGCTCCTCACAAAATGGAAGGAGTATGAAGAACCATATTCATCAGCTTCTTTGCCAACTAGAGCCAGGAGGGAAAGGCATATGGACTGCAATTCCCCAGGCTCGAAAGATGGATATTAAAAATAAATCATTAAAGCATTTTCTGAGAGTATCTTCTCTCCTTCCTTCCCACATGCTCCCCCACCCTGACAGTAGGCTGCTGGCATGTGACCGGCTCCGTGCTGCCAACTGAAGTCATGCTGCGATGGCGCATACTGTAAATGGTTGGCATCCAACACGAGTTAACATGACAACAGCTTGCGATGTAAGCAACAAAGGCAGCTGTTTCAAGCATAGCAGCGATGGCAGCACACTTAAATGCAATAACAATACCTGTGGTACACCTAGGGTTTGGAGTGCAGTAGGCTGCACCTTGGTGTCTGCATCCCCACGTGCACTGCGTGCCTGCGCAGGGCTGGCTGAGCCACACCTAAGCACGCTGCACAAGTTCTCCCCTTGCTGGCTGCTGAAACGAGCCAAACCATGCTGCAAAAACAGAACTTTCAGCACTAATGCAAGGCTGCACTCACATTCACACCCACGCCGTAAGGCAGTTTGTTACAGCCTTTAATCAAGGATGCCAGTGAGGGGTTCCAGAGCACATCCGTCTCTGGTTTTAATGACTGCACTGCATGTCCTGTCAATCATCAGCAATTCTCATGTGAAAACCTTTAAGTTAATGCTGCTTTTCACACACTAGAGGCTGTAGCAGTCCTGGGCCCTGACTGTGCTGTCTTCTCCACAGACATTGATGACATGTGCAATGACTGACAGCAAAAAGAATGAGATGAGGCAGGAAAGGATTTCCATGTTTTGCACAAAACCAGGCACCAAAACACAGCTTGACTACATAACTTCTCTCTGCATGAAGCAGCAGATTTTCCTCCCCAGAGGAGCTCAGTGAGGAGGCACACAGAGATGTGCGGTGCTGCTTACTCAGAGCTCCGGCTGCAGCACGAAGCACTGCCCTCACCCACTCCACACATGCACAGAGCCTTCTCCTGGCTGGAGAGCCCAGCACAGCTGTCATACATTACGTGCAACATGGCCTCAGCCATTTAGTGTGTGCTGCTGCATGCTGAGGGCAGACAAGGACCAGGCAACACAACTGGCCACAGTGCATAAGTGATCAGGGGGTGGTGGGAGCCAGCGTAAGGGAGCTCAGAGCTTCAGCCCCTATGCCCATGCAACGCACTCTGCTCTAGGTCTGTCC